GCCGCAGCCGCTGCCCCCGCCGCAGCCGCCGCCGCCGCAAAGTGCACCCTGTAATGTTTTTTGACAGGGATGGTGGCGGGAGGCCGCATCGGGTTCGCTGCGCATGCTCTGACATTGGAACCAGAGTGTGGTTTGCACTGTCCTTTTAAAAAGGGATGGTGGGGGGGGGCCCGCATGGTCTCGGGTTGGCTCCCAGTCGCCTGGGGGAGGGGGTGTATACTAATAGGGAACAGTGATCAAGCTACCCACCCGCCCGCAAGCCGTCTAGCTCACTCCCACCCGCCCTCCCAACACATCAGTAACACCCGAGCCTGAGCATGTTCAGCGGTCGTCGTTGGATGGAAAGCTACTGGGAACCAAAGCTGATCCCAGGTGCGCGACGCTTCGGCGAGGTGCGCCACGCGCGCCATGCACCCCTGGGGCCCGAGCGTGCCAGGCACGGCTGGTGCGCTAGATGCGCCACGTGCTCCGAGTGCGCCAGGTATGCCGCACACTCCAGCCGCGCCAGGTACGCCATGTTCGGGGCACGTGCAGAGTGCGTCGGGTGCGCCTGCGCACGTGACAGCACACATCGGGAAACATGTTGGCCCCCGCCATCCTTGTCGAAAACGCATGCCCATCATTGTGTCTTGTGGGCCCGCGCACAGCAGGCCACGCGCCACCACCCCCGCCGTCCCTGTCAAATACCATTTGACAATGATCGCGGGATGGCCGCGCATGATCCAGATTTAGCCGCGAGGTGCATGTTGCATGTTTTTTTGTAAGGGATGGCAGCCCCCTGCGCACAGCAGGGAATATGCGGGCACCCCTGACATCCCTGTCAAAAACAATACGAAGTGTGCGCGGGCCTCACGAACATGGCTCAAGACTTTGCCCCACAATGCACTTTGCATTGTTTTGTTGACAGGGATGGTGGGTGGGGCCGCATCGGGTTGGCCGCGCATGCTCCAAATGTGGAAGCATAATGCGGTTTGTATTGTTTTTGACCGGGATGGTGGGGGGCGGGCCCTCATGGAGTCGGCATGGTTCCTGGTTGGACGCCGGCCGGGTGGGGAAGAGGGTTTTTGGAAGAGGGAAGAAAGATCTCGTTGGACCACCTGCGCCTAGAGGGCTGGTGAGATTGGAGTGCCGTTTTCCGAAGCCCGAGCAACAACCAACGGAGGCAAGGAAAAAACAGCACCAATGTCTGTGCGAGCGACGCAACATGTAAAGCGCTGGCAAGAGAGGAGGACGAGGAGGGCACCGTCATACGAGAGAGGCGCTAGAGGGTCTCCTCCGCCCACTGTCCGTGGTATGCAGCGATCCTGTCGGGCCACTCGAACGTGCCAGCGCCTCGCGTTGGCGGGGCTGGTGAAGCAGCGAAGGGGGGGGGTGATGTCGCCGAGCACTCCTATCCTTCCACAGCCGTTCCCAAATGCCGCGCATGCCCCCGCGCGGTCACCAGTGTGGCAGTACGCACTCTCACCCCTGATTGTCGCATCGTGCCTGCCGAGAGGCGAGTAATGAATGATGGCTAGCTTTGCTGCAAAGATGGGCATGCACGAAGAGACATGATCTTGACACACAGCTACACATTAGTGCTTACATACAAATACACATATCAACATGTTAGCCAGCGTGGGCCCTAAGCAGTGAGTCATTGCACGGTGGACGTGAGAGCTATGTAATGTAAGCTAGGTGGTGTAAGCTATGTCGTATAAGGTATGTGGTGTGAGCGATGGGGGTGAACTCTATGCGGTGCAAGCTGTGTGGTTTAGACTATCTGGTGTGAAAAAAAGATATGCTGTGCACAATCTGTTGTGTCATGCAGCTGGTGTGCGCTGTGCGAGGTAAGCCATGCGGTGTAGGTCATGCGGTGCAGGCGCAGCGCAGGGAGCGCCTACAGTCGGGGCGTTGACCTAAGGAACCCTAAATAAGGAACAGGGCCCCTTTCTCCCATAAGTTGAACTTCGATTCCCCGTGGGAAACCGAAGGAAAACCGAAGGCAACCTGCAGAACAGTCACGGCACACCGAGCCCCTCCCCAACGAGAAGGGTTCCTTCTTCAGGGCCCCGGCTGCACGAGCGCCCACGAGGCGGCAATCCGTGGCGTAATGCATCCGGTGTGCGCTGTGTGATGTAAGCCATGCGGTGTAAATCATGCGGCGCAGGCGCAGCGCAGGGAGCGCCCACGAGCGCCCCACGAGGCGGCAAAGGACGTGGCGCAGCCTCGGCGGCTCCGCCCAGGTGGCCGGGGCACCCCTCGAGCGCCCCGCGCGGCGGCACCATGGCGGCAGCGGGGCGCCGCCTCGGCGGCCCCGCCCCTCGCACGAGAAGGGCGCCCACGGGCGCCCCACGAGGCGGCCTCCTCCTCCTCCTCCTCCTCCTCTCCTCCTCCTCCTCCTCCTCCTCTTCCTCCTCCTCCTCCTCCTCCTCCTCCTCCTCGCCTCCTCCTCGCCTCCTCCTCCTCTTTCTCCTCCTCCTCCTCCTCCTCCTCCTCCTCTGGACGCCCGAGCTGGCGGGGACAGGGCTGGTCTGGGCAGGGCCCTGCCTGGGGCCTTCCAGGGGCCCCTCAGCGGCAGAGGATACCCAATCGGCACGAGCGAAATGGATACGGAAAGAATGGGCACGATGCCCAACAGCAGTTCCTGCTCGTTTTGGACAGGACTCGCTGTCCACGCCGCCGCGGCCTGTGTCCATTCGAGACAGAAGGCCGCCTGCCCAACTGCGGCCGCTGTTGGTTTGGAACAACATTTGTTGTTGGGCATAGTGCCAACTTTTTCCGTACCCATTTCGGGCGTCCAAGCCCAAGGTCCTCCCGAGCGGCGTTCCGAGAAGACTTGCTTCGTTCCTTGGTTGTGGCAGGAGTGCCAACTACCAGCGCCCACGCTTCACATGTTGGCCACGTGGATGATTTCACACGTGGCGTGCGTCACGGTGAGCGCTGCACACGCGCTGCGTCGTTGACGACGGCCCCCAAGCGGCATTGTTAGGTCACTGGCCAGAGAAGACTGAAGGCGGCGGCGCCGGACCAGACCGCATGCATGCCCTTGACGGGCCTTTGAGAGCTCCTTCGCGAAAGACCCTGAGTAACAATTCTTAGTGCTCTGTTGTCACTACCATCCGGCAAAATGTGGGTGGCAAGCTGAACAGCCGCCGTGAGATGGCGGCAGGTGCCCCGGCAACTTCTTCTACGCTCGCTCGCAGGGCAGCCTCTCTAGCAGCCTGCGGACGTGGCCGACACTGCCAGAGCACATGCCGCTGTCCCACGGCGACCGTCCGGGTCGTCACCCATACTATGCTGGATGGCATGGGATCGCTCAACATGGTTCCCCGGGGTCTGCCACGAAAGCGCTTTTAAAAGCCCTGCAGGCGCATTCGTGCGGTCTGGTCGGGCACCGCCGTCCTCGCTCTTTCGGCGGGTGACCTGACACCAGCCGGTTGGAGGCGCTGACAGGTCACTGAAGGCCAGCTGGGGTATGGTCACTGCATGTACCCCCAGGACCTCCCAAGAGTCCCAGGGAAGCCTGCTGGGACTCCCGAGACCCACGACACCCCCAAAAGGCCCCAAGAGGGCCTCAAACGAGCCCTGGGATTTGTCACCGTCTCGTGCCCCTCTTTGGCTCTCTTGATGCCCCCCCGAGGTCCAAAGGATGTCCCCCAGAAACACACTCACACAACAACACACACAAACACACACAAACATAAACACACACACAAACACACAGACAACACACACAAACACACAAACACACAAACACACAACGCACAAACACACAAACACACACACAAACACACACACAAACACAAACACACACAACGCACACAACATACACACAACACACACACAACACACAACACACATCACACACAAACACACACATCACACTCAACACACTCAACACACAGCAGATGCAACCCACAACAAACACAACACAAAACACACAGCACACACAATCCACAACACACACGCACACACAGAACACACTACACACAACACACACACACACCAACACACACACAACACACACACGCACAACACACAACACACGACACACATAAGACACAACACATACAACATACACAACACACAACATACACACACGCACGCACACACGCACACACGCACGCACGCACGCACGCACACAGACACATCCATACCCACGCACGCACGCACGCACGCACACACACCCACATCCCTACACACACGCACACGCACACGCACAAACACATTCACACACCACACACAACACACAGCACACAACACACACAACACATACATACCACAAACACACACAGACGCAAAGAAACACAAACACAGAAGCACACAGACACGCAGACACACAGACACATTCACACACACATTCACACACATTCACATACATTCACGTATTCACAGATTCACATATGCAGACAGACACACACAGACACACACACAGACACACACAAACACCCAGACAGACACAACCAGGCACACACACAGACAGACACACACACACAGATACACACACCGACACAACAGACACACAAAAACACGCACAGACACACACATACACACGCAGACAGGCACAGACAGACACACAGAGACACAGGCACACAGACAAACAGAAACGCAGACACACGGACACATAGACACAAAGGTACACAGTCACGCAGACACACAGACACACCGACACACAGACACAGAGACACACAGACTCACAGACTCACAGACACACAGGCACACAGCCACACAAACATACAGACACACAGACACACATAATCAAAGCCTCACACACAGACACACAGACGCACAGACACATAGACAAACAGCCACACAGACACACAGACACACAGGCACACAGCCACACATAATAACAGACACACAGACACACAAACACACAGATACACAATCACACAGACACACAGACACACAGACGCACAGACTCACAGACTCACGGACACACAGACACACAGACACAAAGGCACAAAGTGACGCAGACACACAGACACACCGACACACAGACACACAGACACACAGGCACACAGCAACACGAACACACAGACAAACACACAATAACAGACACACAGACACACAGACAAACAGCCACACGGACACACAGACACACAGCCACACAGACACACATAATAACGGACACACAGACACACAGACACACAGACACACAATCACACAGACACACAGACACACATAATCACAGACTCACAGACTCACAGACACATAGACACACAGCCACACAGACTCACAGACACACAGACACACAGACAAACAGACACACAGACACACAGACACACAGACGCACAGACACACAGAAACACAGACATACAGACACACAGACACGCAGACACACAGACGCACAGACTCACAGACTCACAGACACACAGGCACACAGACACACAGACACACAGAGACACACACAACAGACAACAGACTCACAGACACATAGACACACAGACACACACACAGACACACGGACACACAGGCCCACGCACAGACCCACACACAGACACACACACACACATACACACAGATACACAGACACACGCACATACAGACACAGAGACACAGGCGCACAGACACAGACACACAGACAGAATGACACACAGGCACACACAGGCACACAGACACACCGACACACAGTCACACAGACAGACACAGACAGACACAGACACACAGACACACAGACACACAGGCACACAGCCTCACAGACGCACAAACACACAGACACACAGACATACAGGCACACCGGCACACAGGCACACAGACACAGACACATAAACACTACAGGCACAACAGTCACAACGGACACAACCAGCACAACAGACACAACAGACACAACAGACACCACATACACCACAGACACCACAGACACCACAGACACCATAGACGCCACAGACGTCACAGACACCACGGATACCACAAACACCACAGACACGACAGACACAACAGACACAACAGACACCATAGACACCACAGACACCAGAGACACAACAGACACAACAGACACAAAAGACATAATAGACACAACCGACGCACAGGCACACAGACACACAGACACAACAGACACAATCGACACAACAGACACAACAGACACACAGACACAACGGTCAGACCGACAGACAAGCAGACACACCGACAGACACACAGACAGACAGACAGACACACAGACAAACAGACAGGCAGGCAAACAAGCAGACACACAGACACACAGACACACAACCACACAGACACACGGACACACACACACACACACGGGCACACGGACAGACGGACGCACACAGACAGACAAACACACAGACATACAGACACACAGACACACAAACACACAGACACGCCGACACGCAGACACTCACCACAGACATACAGACACACAAACACAGACATACAGACACACAAACACAACAGACAAACAGACACATATTCACACAGACGCACCGAGACACACAGACACACAGGCACACAAACACACAGACACACAGACACACGGACACACAGACTCACAGACACACAGACACACAGACACACAGACACACAGACAAACAGACTCACATATTCACAGACACACAAACACACGGACACACAGACACACAGACACACGGAGACACGGACACACACAGACACACGGACACACAGACACACCGACACACACAGACACACAAACACACACAAACACACACTGACAGACACAGACACACAAACACCCGGACACACACACACACAAACACACAGACACACGGAGACACATACACACACAGACACACACAGACAGACACACACAGACACACACACAGACACACACACAGATACACACAGACACACACAGACACACACACACACCGACACATACACAGACAGACACACAGACACACAGACACACAGACACACACAGCCACAAACACCGACACACACAGACACACAGAGAGACACACAGAGACACACAGAGACACGCAAAGACACACACATATATTCACCGAGACACACACAGACACACAGACACACAGAGACACACAGAGACGCACAGAGACACACAGAGACATACAGAGACGCACAGAGACACACAGAGACATATAGACACAGAGACACATCGAGACACACACAGAGACACACCGTTACAGACACACACGAAACCACACACGCGAAAACACACTCACAAACACACAAACACGCACACAAAAACACACAAAGACACACGCACACAAACGTCATGGGCGGCAGCGTGGCGAAACCTCGCGGGACCCACGCAGCACACGAGGCGGCCTGCAGGCGGCCACGAGCGACCAACTGGCGACCCGCCCAGCGCACGACGAGGCCCGCTGACGGCCTACGGGCGGCAGCGTGGCGAAACTCCTCGCTGGACTCATCCAGCACCTGAGTGACATAAGTAAGAAGCCCCCGAATGCAATACCTGTCTGGGGGCATCGACAGTGATCGGTAAATCCCGGAAAGAGAATTGGAGAGACAGACAGTGGCCGAGAGATTCTGGCAAGAGAAGGAGGGATTCTCGGACTCGGGGTGTACCCTCGAATTTCCACTGTCCCCCAAATCGTGAACACTTAGGGTTTCTTATTTCTCCTCTACGGAACTGGGCTGGTGTGGCGGTCTGGCGGCTACGTCGTCGCCGTCGCCGCCGCGCCTCCGCCTCGTCGCCGCCCGTCGTCTGGGCCCGTGTGGCGGTCTGGCGCCTATGTTGTCGCCGTCACCGCCACGTCGCCACCTCGCATGGACTGCGCCGCATAGATTGCACCGCGTATTATATATACATATATATATAGAATTATATATATAAGAAAAGAAACTGACCCCCCCCCCGCCGGGATTAGAGGGAACCCCTTTGCGCATTGCAGTTTCCATATAATCCTGCCCCATCGTCCATCCTAAATCAGAACTCGCACCATCCCAAAAGGGCTGGTATCTCCCCCCGCCATCCTGTGCAACATAATACTATGCGCGCGCACTCGTTTATCAAAAACCAGCAGCTTCCAACAATCCTTCTGCAAACAATGAAACGAAGTGCACGCGCGCACGTCGTCGCGCGCGCATGCCGACATCAGTTTAAAACCATTCGTTGTCTGAAGGACTTCAACATCGAGTGCCCCAACAACGTAACAAAAACAGGTCTCGCAACACGGATGTGCAAACACAATTTGCGCGCGCGAAGTGCTCCCGCGCGAATTTCACAAGGATCACGGTTGCTCTTCCGAGTTCTTAATAGAACAATCTTTTTCCACATTTTGAGGAAATGCTACCGCGCGCGTGTCGAGATCGTTCGAACGCTTTTGCGCGCGTGCAGTCGCGAGAGTCTTCTGCAACAGACAAAGACGAAATGCGCTCGCGCGTGTCGTCGCGCGCGCATGCCGCAATCCGTCACAAAACTTCGGTTTCGCAAGGGTTTCAACATCGAGTGTCCAACAAACATACATACGACATATGGTTTCGCGACATCAGTTTTCAAACAAGCGTGCGCTCGCGCTCTCGCGTTTTTTTTTTTTTTTTTTTTTTTTTTTTTTTTTTTTTTTTTTTTTTTTTTTTTTTTTTTAATATATAAATATAAAAAAACCATAGGTGTTGCAACATGTTCCTGGGATTCTGCCCAAACGGGCTTCTGGCGATGCGTGCCGAAATCGTTCGAACGCCCTTGCGCGCGTGCTGTGTGTGTGTGTGTGTGTGTGTGTGTGTGTGTGTGTGTGGGGGTGGGTGGTGGTGGGGGGGGGGGGGGCAAGGCTCGTGTCAAATGATACCATGCGGGCCACTCTCGCGCGTCGGGCGAGCGCGCATGTCAAACTCTTGCCCAAACTTTCATTACCGACGCGAGGACGCCGTCTTCGTCGTCGGCGTGATCAACATCGGCACCCGCACTGGCCGCGCCGTCGTCGTTGTCAACATCGCCACCAGCATCGCCACTATCATCATCGTGTATACAGTTGTCGACGTTGCCATGAAACCGCGCCCGCCCAACTCGCCGACACGCACTGAAGTGCCCGCTGGGATGTGCCCAGCGGTCAACGCCACCGCGGCCGCGTCGGTCGCGCCAACCTAGCTGACCGCTGCGCGCGCGTGCTTGGGGGGCCAGGGGGGAAGCTTGAGGATTGGGGGCCAGGAATCGCGCTCCCGACCGATCTTTTCTTGAGCAGGGACCGACCGTCCCGGCATTCCTATAGGCCCACCACGCAATGTTCTTAGAACCACCCAAAATGCCCTAAGAACAAAAACGATGTTCTTAGACTTTAAACATTTGTTTTTTTTTTTTTTTTTGGGGGGGGGGGGTTGTTTGTTTTGTTTGTGATATATATACATATATATATATATATATAAAACAAGGCAGTCCCAGCCAGAAATGTTCGGAGAACATTTCGTGCAGACCACAACAGGGTTTTATAACATTCTCTGGTAGGCCTATAGGCGAGCTGGGACGCTTCGCCTCTGCTGGACTTTTCAAGACTCTGGAGGTCTGCGGGGGACGGCCGGCCGGCGCGGCGCGGCACCGTGGTACTGGCCCGCCCGAAACTCGCCGGCGTAGCGGGCCCGCGAGGACCACTCGAGCACACCTGCCGCGGGGCCGCCGCCGCCGCTCCTCGTCGGTCGTTGTCGTCGTTGCCACCGAGGCCGTCGTCGTGGTACTGGTGGTCGTCGTCGTCGTCGTCGTCGTCGTGGTCGTGGTGGTCGTCGTGGTGTGGTCGTGGTGGTCGTCGTGGTCGTCGTGGCCGTCGTTGTCGTCGTGGTCGTCGTCGTCGTCGCCGGAGGAGGAGGAGGGGGAGGAGGAGGAGGAGGAGGAGGATTACTCGGAGGCGGAGGAGGAAGAGAGAAGAGAGCTGGGATTTCTGGCTTGCGTGGGCCTCCGGGGGCGGCCTTGTCGCCACGGCTGCGTGCGCCTTGCGATTCTGGCCATAACGCGCATTGCAAGGGTGGTTGCGGACTGAAAACAAAAACACGACGCGCGGCGGAGGGGCGGGCCGTCGGAACATGAGGGAAAAGAGGGGGTGAAGGAGGAACCCGTCTCCCCGTCCCTCCTCATTCTCTCATTCTCCTCATCCAACCGCTCGTCCCGAGCCGCTGTCTGCCTCCTCTGGCTCACTCTGGGGGGAGCTGGCCACGGTGACTCTGGCGACGGTGAAGACGACGACCAAAGCGAGGACAGCGAGGGCCCGAGATGCCGACGGCGCCGCAAGCCCGACGACAGCGGAGACGACGCCGACATCGAAAAGCACCGCGACGGCGACGACGACGCCGCCGCCGCCGACGACGACATCGACGAGGACGGCCTTCGCCGTGGAAGAGGTTGGCCTCGAAGCCGCCCCTGTAGCGGCTGGCGCCCTCCTGCGCGGGGGGCGAGCCGGAGGGCCCTCGGCCGGCGCGCGCGACTGCGGGGCCATGCCTCGGCCGCCTCGACCTGCGCTCTTCCGCTCCCGTGCCTCTCCTTCCCCTGCTCCCCCTCCCTCAGCCTCCCTCCATCCTCCTCCTCCTACTCCCCTCCTCCACCTCCTCCTCCTCCTCCTCCTCCTCCTCCTCCCCCTCCTCCTCCTCTTTCTCTCTCTCACCCTCCTCATCCCCCTCCTTCCCTCCCTCAGTTCTCCCCCGTCTCCTCATCCTCCTCCGCCTCCTCCCTTTTCCCCTCCATTCCTCCTCCTCCTCCTCCTCCTCCTCCTCCTCCTCCTCCTCCTCCCCTCGTGCCTCCTCCTCCTTGTCTCCCTCCCAGCTACCCGCTCTCAGCCGCAACATAATCTCGCGCAATGTGGCTTGGATGTTGTTGCGAAGCCATGCGACAAGCACATGTAGGGAACCGAACTCCATACACCAACGCGTTTTCCGGCCCTGCGCTGAAACTCTCACAAGAAAGTGATCCTGGCGTATATGGGGTCCTGGTGTATCCATTTTTCGTTCTTTCCCTGGGGGAACGGGGAACAAGTATACACCACACCACCCCGACGTCGTCCCCGACCCTCGAAAAGTCCTGGGATTGAATGACAGCCCGCCACTGGTATATATATTATATATATATATATATATATATATATATATATATATATTCCAGTTTCCGAACATAGGCAATTATGACAAGCTGGCGCAATGCACAATCAACTAGGATGATTGCAATATCTCTGGCGAGTAAGCCATGGGCCTTGCAGCGTGTATGCCGACTTCTCTGGCCCACGTCTGTCGAAGGCGGCCTTTCTTCCTAGCGCCGGGTGGCTTGTCCAAGTTTCAAGAGGAAGAAGAGGAGGAAGGTGGCTCTATGCAGGCCATTGTGTATTTCGCTCCCTCTTTTCGTATCTTCCTCTTGGCCAGTTGTCAACAACTAGTTGTAATCTGTAAAGTTGTACTCTCGTCCCCATTTTGTGCTGCCACGGACTGGTGTACTCTTGCCCTGTTGGGCCACTATTCTTTTCATTTCTTCTTTCATTTCTCTTTGGCATAACCTTTTCAACGCAACAAGCTCGGCCATAATGTCTGCCCATCGAGGAGGGTGGCTCAAGTGATAGCTTCACAGAGGGGTCGCCCGCCCTCAAACCCTGCACCGTGCCCGAACAATTCACACTTGCCTCTGCAACAGCACGCAGCTCAGTTCCATGCGACTCGTAGGCTGCAGCACGCTGGCGCTAATACACCTGCTCTAATACGAGTGGCCGATGCTAAAACCGCGTCGTAGTCACCTCGCCGAAGATGACAAGAGGACAGCCGGGAAGAGGTCGCTCAGGACGACAACCATGACCAGGACCACGAGGACAGGTGAGTGGGCAGCGCTGGCAGATGCCTCCTTATTAGCGCCTGCAGCAAGGACGCCCGGTCCACGTCTCTCACTGCAGATTCTCCGCCAGCGTATATCGTACTCACCATATTCCCAGACCGCAGTGCTGGGAGTCGGTGAGGTCCTCGCGCATCTGGCCACGCGGCGAGGCAAGGACGTCGTCCTCACTCGTGGGCAGTATGCCGCAGCCCAGCTGGCGCCAGCACGGCGGCGCATGGCTGCATTGCTTCTTCTAGGTCACGTGGCAGATAGGCCACCAGCAGCATGCGCCCTGGCGCTGGGCTCAGGTCGGGTATGTCCTCCCACAGGCGGATTTTGAACGAGAAATAAAACATAGTCATAACAGTATTCGAACATAGTCAGAAATAATCCACGCGGTGTCCGAATGGTCGGCGCAGTCACCGCTTAGCGGACAGCCCACGGCCTTATGTATGGCCGCTTGCAGCAACAGCCCGCCGCGAACCGAAGAGCTGCTTGCCCGAACCAGAAGGGACAGAGCGCCAGCAGGCCAGCGTGGTGAAAAAGAGGGGCTGGGCATATCCACTAGAGAGCATGGGAATTAAGGAAGGCCCCTCAAGCGACCCAGGCTGCCTGAATATAGGCTCCTCGTCGTCCTACATGAATCTAGGCTCCTCGTCGTCCAAACAGATTCAAAATCAAATATGATGTAAAAAATTATCAAACCCGTCCGCATCGTTGCAGTCGAGGCAGGTTGATAGGCCGACCCTGCCAAATCAAGGGTGCTCTTGCGTCCTGTGTTTGGCGACCCATGCCCTCTACATTCCTATACCAATGTGGCCCTCGGAAGGGTCTTGTGTCCTCTTGCGTGTCCTCCCCAAGCAGCCTCGACTGTATGCTCGACGCGTCCATCCAGGACGAGCACCTGCTTCGGGGATGGACAGAACCCCCTTTAGCAAAACGTGGCTTGGTGAAAACAACCTCGGGCCCAAACCTGGCGGGCGCAAGCCTGGAAAAAGACGGCCGCGGGGCCCTCTCGCGAACCGAAGACGGACAATTCACGAAACGACGTGTCAGGGTGGGGGTTCTGTCCACCCCCGACTGGTTGCAAGTGAGCGTCCCAGTGCGATCCGGTTGTGCCTCGGGAGCAAGTTGGACTGGCCCAGTCTTAAGGCCCCCACCACGTCGTTGAAGGCAGGGAACCTGCTCTCCAGCATGGTGCCGTCAGGCGCGCTCCTAGGGTCGCACCCGTCGCGTCCTGCGGGGTCGGCGATGTAGTCCAACATTGCGCTGAGGAAGCCAGTCCCGCTCATGACCCCACGGTTAAGAAATGCCAAGAAGTCAGGGCCTGGCCGCAAGCTGCGACGTGCTAAGACATCAGAGCCGGGCCCAGGGAGCCGGTGGCCGCGCCAGTCTCCGTGGAGGAGCCGGAGGCCGTGCCGCCAGTTTCCCTAGGCCTCGCGCCGCCGCTGGGACCTGCATTCCCGGTCGGCGGGCGCCTTGCCAACACGAGCTAGAACATGCGAAAACTCAACGAATGGCTTGATGCTGACATGGGTCCTCTTCCTCATCCTCCTCCTCCTCTTCTGCACCCTCCTCATTCTTGGCCAACACCATCACTATCACCATCACCATCACCATTATCACCATCACAATCGTCATCACCATCATTATCATCATCATCATCATCACCACCATCACCATTACCATCATCAGCATCATTATCATGCTCATAATCACCATCATCACCATCACCATCACCATCACCATCATCATCATCATCATCATCATCATCATCATCATCAGCGTCACCATCATCGTCATCAACATCATCACCTCCATCAGCAAATGGCAACCATCATCAGCATCATCATCATCATCAACATCATTAACACCACCATCACAATCACCATCACAACCACCGTCACCAGCACCATCACCATCGCCGTCGACATCGCGATCCAAATTATCACCATCACCATTACCATCACAATTAACATTATCATCAGCATCATCATCATCATCATCATTATCATCAGCTTCGTCGTCATCATGATCACCAACATCATCAACATCATTATCATCATCATCGTCATTATCAGAGTCATCATCGTCATCATCATCACCATCATCACCATCAGCATCATCATCACCATCATCATCAGCATGATCGTCATAATCGCCACCATCATTATCGTCATCATCATGATAACCATCATCACCATCATCATCATCGTCACCATCATATCGTCATCGTCATCATCATGACCATGATCATCATCATCGTCATCATCGTCATCATCACCATCACCCTCACCACCATCATCACCAGCATCAACATTATCACCATCACCATAAGCATCCTCATCCTCAGCCTCATTCTCCTCAGCCTCATTCTCCTCATCCTCATCCTCATCCTCATCCTCGTCATCGTCATCATCATCATCAGCAGCATCAACATCACCACCATCACCACCACCATCACCACCATCACCATCACCATCATCATCATGATCATCAGCATCAGCAGCAACATCATCATCAACACCATCAGCATGCTCACCATCGACATCACCATCATCGTCATTATGATCATCGCCATTACGATCGTCATCTTCTTCATCATCATCATCATCGTCGTCATCATCACCATCAGCATCAGCATCACCATCACATCACCACCTCCACCACCATTACTGTCAGCATCATCACCATCACCATCACCATCACTATCACCATCACCATCATAATCCTCTCAACCTCATCCTCAGCCTCATTATTCTCATCCTCCTCATCCTCACCCTCATCATCCTCACCAGCGTCACCATCATCATCGTCATCATCAGCACCATCATCATGATCATCAGCATCAGCACCATCGCCATGATCATTGTCATGATCACCAGCATCATCATCATCAGCATCATCATCGTCATCCTGCACAACAAGCTCCTTCCTCGAACCTCAATTCTCTCGGCTCGCGGGTGCCTGGTCGGACCACGTGAGCACGCCCTCGCCATGCATAGCCTGCCAGCATGGTGCTGGCTACGCGTGGGCGCACGTCGTCGTCGTCGTCGTCGTCGTCGACGTCGTCGTCCTCGTCGTCGTTGTCGAGGGTAGATGGTCAAGCTGTTTCATGGTATCGAGCATATGTGCCTCCTCCGCCTCCTCCTCATCTCCCTCCCCTCCTCGCGTCATCCTCCTCGCCCCCCTGCTCCCTTCCCTCCCTGCTCCTCCTCCCTCTTGGGTCGACCTCTCAAACCGATCGGTGGGCACGGGCTTGCGAGGAAGCCAATGCCACGGTGCCAGACGAAACGGAACGACAGACAGAGCCCCAAGACGTACCACTGCCAGCGGCGAGGCCCCACAGAACCACGAATCCCTGCCTCTCCTCCTCCGCCTCCCTCCCCCCCCCCTCCACTGGCCATCGCTCGGACGCCCATTCCCTGTGTTTTGTTTCGGTTTCGTGCGTGATTTTTTTCGCCAAATGATCAACGATGCTCCTCGATGGCCCTCGCCGAGAAAAAATGCACATGTCCGAGCGATGCCAGGTCCACAAATTACACACTAGGAATACTCCTCTCCTCTCCCTGATGACGTCTGGACGGTATCCCGCCCCCCTCCGCGTACTGTTTGCTTGCGCACAAGATTCCCGTGCACTGGGTTTTCGCTTGTTTTTTGTCATGATGCTGCTCCCGCTGCAGCGCTGGCCTCATTTTCGGGCTTCCGCTCGTTCCGAATCGTGCTCCCGCTGCAGCGCTGGCCTTATTTCCGCGCTTCCGCTCGTTCCGAATCGTGCTCTCGCTGCAGCGCTGACGTCATCATTTCCAGTGCCATGCCACGGCATGGTTTTCGGCGCGTTCAAATAGGCCCCAACATCTAAAACATGCGCCCTGGAAACAACCATCGGACGTGACTACACATTCGGTGTCGATTCGTGGAGTTCTGGGGCCGCAGAAGCCCCCAACTTTGGGGCGTCGCCACGCCATCCTATACCATGCTACGGGTCGATCTTCAGCACCATGCTATGCCATGGAATGCCATGCCATGCTGCGACGTCCGACTGTGCGAATAGAGAGGGAGTTTACGCCATGGTAGCGGATGGGAGGGAGGGGTAGGACGTCAGACATGACGCGAACGCACCTAGCTTGCCCCTCTCCCCCCTCTCCTCCCCCTTTCCACTCTCCCCTCCATCATCGCCCTCTCCCCTCTTTCCTCTCCCCTCCCTCCTCCCCCTCTCCCCTTTACCTCTCTCTCTCTCTCTCTCTCTCTCTCTCTCTCTCTCTCTCTCTCTCTCTCTCTCTCTCTCCCCCCCCTTCTCCCCTCTCCCCTCTCCCCTCATGAATTTTTGGGGATGCAGAACCCCCCCACTTTGGGGCGTCGCCACGCCATGCTATCCCAAGCTACGCGTCCTCCGAAGTGTGCTCCCGCTGCAGCGCTGGCCTCGTTTCCGCGCTTCCGCTCGTTCCGAATCGTGCTCCCGCTGCAGCGCTGGCGTCATCATTTCCAGCGCCATGCCACGGCATATTTTTCGGCCCGTCCAAATATGCTCGAACATGTAGAAAATACCCACCCGAAACAACCATCGGAAGCGATTACACATTCGGTGCCGATTCGTTGATTTTTGGGGCCGCAGAAGCCTCCCCCCACTTTGGGGCGTCGCCACGCCATGCTATGTCCGGCTACGCGTTGATCTTCAACACCTTGCTGTGCCATGTGCTGCTGTGCCGTGCTGCGACATCCGACTGTGCGAATCGAGAGGAGATCTGCGCCACGGTCAGGGGTGGGAGTGGGGGGGGGGTAGGACGTCAGATAGGACGGCAGTGCACCTGGCCTCCCCCTCTCCTCTCTCCCCCTCCCACCATCCTCCCTCTCCTCCCTCCCCTTCTCAGATGTGACGCCCCTCCCCCCTCTCATCCCTCCCCTCCCTCGTCCCCTCCCCTCCCCTCCCCTCCCTCGTCCCCTCTCCTCCCCTCTCCTCCCCTCCCCTCTCCTCTCTCTCTCTCTCTCTCTCCCTCCCCTCCTGAGATGTGACGCCCCTCCCCCTCTCCTCTCTCGCCCCTCCCTCGTCTCCCTGCTCCTCCTCTGCCCGTGGGAGGCGGGGGGGCCTCCTGTGGGAGAGGGGCGGCGCGGCACGGCCCAGGGCAATGGAGGAGGAGAGGAGAGAGGAGGAGGAGGAGGAGGAGGAGGAGGAGGAGGAGGAGGAGGAGGAGGAGGAGGAGGAGCAGAAGGAGGAGGAGGAGGAGGAGGAGGAGGAGGAGGAGGAGGAGGAGGAGGAGAAGGAGGAGGAGGAGGAGGAGGAGGAGGAGGAGGAGGAGGAGGAGAGGGAGGAGGAGGACGGGGGGAGGGGCGTCTCCCGAAGGGGCCCCTGGGCCTTCTGGGGGACGGCTCCTCGGAGGGCGAGGTCGGTCGGTGCAGGGTTGCGCCAGGGATCGGGGAGACGTAAGACTCGGGTACGGGGGACTCGCGTCGGCATGACGGGGCCATCATGACAACGACGAGGCCCAGTCTGGAATCTGACGCGAGTTCCCGCTGCAAGCATCCTACGAAGACTGGGCCGTCAAAACCCAGGACGCGCCTCGTCAAGAGGCGGCTCCTCGTGTCCAGGCGGTTGCCGAACCTGCGCTGTGGAAGAGAGGGTTGCGCTGCTCAGACGTTCCCGCTGCTCAGGCCCGCTGGCGCACACCCGACGCAGCCCCTTGTGGAGGGCGGGCGGGCTTCCGAGACGCCCCCGTGCCCTCCTGGAGTGCTGGGCCCCTCGTGCCACCCTCTCGCGCGCGCCGCCAGGCTTCCTTGCCCACGGAGGAAGAAGATTTGGACGCCCGACATGGGCACGGAAATAATGGGTACGATGCCCAACAACAAATGTTGTCCCAAACCAACAGCGGCCGCTGTTGGGCAGGCGGCCTTCTGTCTCGAATGGACACAGGCCGCGGCGGCGTGGACAGCGAATCCTTATCAAAACGAACAGGAACTGCTGTTGGGCATTGTACCCGTTCTTTCCGTGCCCAGTTCGGGCGTCCAGAGAAGAAGGGGGGAGGAGGAGAAGGAAAAGGAGGATTTATCAAGGATTTGCAAAAACTGCAGTCCTGCCTCTGCCGTGCAGAGGGGACCTCCTGGGCCACGGGGGACACCCCCCCATGGCCACCCGTGGTCGGGATGCCCTAGCACGGAAAGCCCGCGCAGCGCCCGACGCCGCTCGCCGGCGTTGCCTCGCTGGCGGGGGGCCTCCCGGGTCGGGTGGAGGCGACCCGTAGGGCCTCGCCGCCAAGCCACTGGCAGAGGTCCGCCGCGTCGCTCCACGATGCAGTAC